AGTAGCCGGTAGTCATCGAGTTAAGAAAAAATGCCTATCCACAGGAATTTATACAAAGCATAATAAGAAATTTTGAAAGGCAAAAATAAAACAGACATGTTCTCTTGAACCGTAGAAATAAAGAAAGCACATCTAAAGCTCAGGCTACTTGGGTGAATCAATATATAGATGATAATATCACCACAAAACTAAAGAGAATAATTAGAAGATCAGAATTACCTATTAAACTAGTACAAAAACCAGGCATCTCCTTTTGAAGCCTTAATAACAAATTCAGCATACAATAAAGAAACACGATGCATGAAAAATAACTGTAAAGCTACTAAATATGGACTACGTGATAGATGGCATAGTAAAAACATTGTTTATGAAGTAACTTGTGGCAGATGCTCTCGCACGTATATAGGAGAAACTTGCCAACACATACATGATCGAATATCTGAACATGTGCGTGAAATTCAAAACCTCAATACTAACAATGCTATTGCAGAACATTATGGAAAAGAACATGGCCTACCACAACTGGATAACATCTTATTGGATGTCAAGATTTTATCTAAATGTCATAATTTTCTGGACAGAAAGATTAAAGAATCCATTTTAATCAAGAAAAATAAACCAAAATTGAACAAATAGAAAGGTTGGCCTTTAGTGTAGAGATATTAATGGAATTTTAAAGATTTTAATATGTTGAACTTTGATGAAGTCTCTATACACACTTATAAATGTTGAAATATATGTTCAGACATTGTTTCATGTATGTATTGATATAATAACATAGAAAAAATACCAATACAAATATTAAGAAATGTTTTAGGTACATAACATATTCTATTCTAAATCCAATGATGTTTATCATTAACTTATTGGTTTGCACATGTTATTTATTTAGCACTGTTGGTTTGATTTGTCTTAACAATATAAATTCAAAATTGTTTAATATTATTTTAATATAATATGAACTTTCTAAACACGTAAATTGAAACTTGATACAATTTAACTGGATTAGTGAACTTTTAGGATATTGACAGCTCCTGATAGCAAAATATTGAGCGAATAAAGTTACATTCTGGACATATAGGTTGTGATTTTATTTATGTTTATAAACACTGTACATTATTGTATATTATTGATGACCTATTGAGGAGATATCTAAAATAGCATTTCAATGAACAATCAAATCAGAGCTATTCATATATAGGCAGTGCTACTGACAAGCGCTAAGGAAAGCGATGTACAACAATATACTTAGGAATTGTACGCCTACATAATCAATGTTAATGATGATAGGTAGAAGATAATTTACAAGAAAGATTCTATAAAATCTGCTCTTTCTATTGGTTATAAGCATGCCATTAAATTTAAAACTGTGCTTAGAAACACAACTTTTGCTTTGCAAATTGGCGTGGCTTATCTTGAACTGAGGAAATTTTACAATGGTTTCATCTGGGATAAGTTCTTGGAATGTATTCAAATTACTGGTAAACAACCTAAATAGGGTGTACTTTGAATTTCTGAACGAAAAAGTCTAAATTATAAACACAGTTTCATCTATACCAGCTCTTAAAATTGATAACTGTAACCACAATGCATTACAAAATAAATGCAGTTTTAATTATTATTTTTGAGGTTTCTTTTGAAATTATTGAATAAACACTTAGATAATATATAACTTTGAATTATAATGTACTTGATAATAATAATTTCATTAAAATACATTAACAGTAAAATGGTTGAATTAAATTTTGAATGTAATGCAGTAACATGAGCAGAAAGGGGTTTTAAAATGGTATTGTCCTAATAGGATTAACAGTATGAAAACAAATAGGTCAAAATGTGCACATCATGACTTTTTATAGTTGCATTCAAAATTTACTTAAACTATTTTATAATTCAAATTTTAATACTATCTAAATCAGAAAAACTAAATGGAAAAAAAGTCAATAAAAAATACTCAATACAACAAGCACATCTTGTGAATAAAGCAGTGTAATTTGCCCAAGCATGATGGTAACTCGATGCTATATTAACACAAAGCTTCCCTGCTGTGATAATTCACTTTGGCACTAGTCTAAGTGGTAGTAAAGCAATAAATCTAAATTAGTAGTAGATATGAATTACATTAGTTTTATATTGTCAACAACAATACGCAGTCATTCTAGAAAAAAAAAGGATAATGTAGACTGATTTCATATTTTTATATTGACTGAGCACATATACAGTGTTAGAGTACAGCAAATAACAGATAAGATATGAAGTTTTTGCAGAAAAAAAATCTTTGCTATTCATTTAAAAAATATTTCAGAGGTTCAGCAATAAAATATAAAAACTGTAATATGAAAAAAATAAGACTAGTAAGAATACGAGTTCAGATTTTAATTCCACAAATTCACAGACAATTCTTTAGTACAATACTTTAAAAATCTGAGATTTTTTGTGTACAGGACTAGTAATGTTTACTAAAAGCTTGCCAAATTTCATGAAGATACAATTACTACATTAAAATTTATAGTATGTATAGTTTCACGATTACATGATGATTGTAAGATTAGTCAAAATGACCAAGCCCATATACAGAGGACTAAATAAGACTGAATGAGGTGAACCAAACAACACACAAAATAAACCAAGTTAAGTGGGACACTGAGAAAGAAGAAAATGATGCCAGGGTAGAGAATAGTTAGGTGCGGTTATTCACAGTGAAGGTGTCATCGTCAAAATGTAGAGCCATCAAAAGATGAAGTGTGCACTGATAGCAAAGAAGCTGAGCAAAACAAAGACAAACATACTGAATGCAGGAAAAAATATTTCAAGCTGGAAGAAGAGATTCAAGGGACTAAAACCTTAAGAATGACAAAGAATCAGGACCATAGGCCTCAAAATAAGATGCTTAAGGTCTGGAAGTACGAATCAGGTGGTGGTTCATTATGTTGTTGCAAAAAAATGGTATCAGCATGCATAAAAATTTCAGGGGAAAGGGAAAGAGAAGATAGTCAGAAAAAGAAGGAGGCAGAAAGGTGGACTGAGACTCAGCAACAACTACTGGAGAAAGAAGAATAATGTAACATAATCATGTAATCAAAGCAGCAAAGGAAAAAGATAAGGTGATCTGTTCATCAATGGGGAAAGAGAGAACCAGAAGTAAAACAGGTGCTACGACAAGCTGGAGAAAATTGTTGAAAGACCAGACAGGCTCAGCTGAAGCAACAGGGGATAAGCAGACAGAAATCATGGATTCTAGGTTAGAATGGAACCAACCAACTGGTGCATGATGGCATTAACAGCACTGACTGTTAGAATGCCTCCAGTCACCAATGAAATAATACAATTCCATTTGTGAAGTGTAAAAACCTCAGAAAGTAAAAGAAGCATAAATACTTGAAACAATAATTGGTCTCATCCATAAAACTGTACATAAGTTTTGTTTTTAATAGATCTAATATGTTCATGATACAAAGGCCTTGGGCATTGAAATAATGATGAAATGTCTGATTAATTATCAAAACCTAAACATTGGGGAAAGAATGATGGGAAATGTTTCTGTCAAAGAAACCATATCACAAACTCTGGAATATGTGTCCAACATTTTATAATTTTGATTAAGAGAAAAAAATCAAATTAATGGAAGATAATTCAAATCAGAAGTTCTAACTGAAAGATTTAAAATTTTGTAGTTTCCTTTCATGAAATCAAGAAAATAAAAGGAAGAAAGACTACAATTTTAAATGATAACTGAAAGTTTAAAAGAATAAACAGAAATATTCCATAATACATAATGAAAAAACACATCTAAATCACTAGCAGTGCCAAAGAAAGAATAAGTCTTTGTTAATATTCACAGTGTTCATGAGGTCTACTGTGTATAGAGCATATTTCACCTTCCAAATGTTGGAGGGCTATAATATAATGAGGATTGCATCATACACTGGCACAGTACATGTTAATATGTGTAGGGGTGTGAGTTCCATTCAAGGCATGGTGCATGTGAAAAAATCTTTTCAACAGTGACACAAGGTAATAGCTATCAGTTCTGTGGAGAAGTGCATAGCACTTCTGAAGATCTGAACAGTTTCAAGGTATTTGATGAAATAATTCTCTTTTATTTCAATTTGTTATATAATGAAGGAACTAATTTAATTTAAATCAAAGATAATTACATTTTTCTAAAATCAAAACTTTCCATCAACTTAAAAATGCACAAGAAATTTCACATAAAATAATGTGTTACAATGTTTTAATAAAAGACAAATGAAAAACAGTACCTCGTATATTCTTCTTGAAGCTTACTTGGGTCAGAAACATAAAACTTTACACGAAAATAAAGTAAATATGGAGGTCCCGCTAAAAGAAGATAATTAATAACAGCCATAAAACTTATACACTGATAAAGTAACGCTACAACAAATATGATTAGTTATAATTGAATTTCATTTAGAATATTAATTATGCTATTACAATAACCACATAAATCTGGTTATTTGATTTATGGTGTTACGAATACAGCAACAGTCATTAACTGGTTATTTAATTTGTAACATTACCAATAACAATAAAGCCATAAGATCATTTAAGCTACCTAACTACTTTAATCATTCTAGTTGTATGTCAGTCATAAGATTAGTACCTTATAGCATTACGGTTGATACAACAACAGACATAAGACTTCTGATACAACAAAAACTTCCATAATAATGTTAATCTGATTAACAAATTTATTAATGATACAACAACAACCATAAGACTGCTAATTTGATTAACAAATTTATTAATAACACTGCAACAACAACCATAACACTGGTGATCTGATCAGCAGCATTACTGCTATAAAACAATAAAAAAAGAGGACAACATTATACAATATAAATAGGAAACCTGACATTTCATCAACATCAAAAGGCACATCATCTATATCATAAATATGAAACAATATTCCATCAATGAAGAAAAATCTCTATCACAATGGGTTTAATTCTGGTACTTCATCTAAATGTATCATCTGGTTTTTTCTTTTTAACATTTCTAGAAATTAATATATTTCTTTGTTTGAAGTTAAAAGACTGTACAATAAATCTGGTTAATAAATCCAATTAATACTATATCTTCATGAATTACATAATAAGCACTTTCTCCTTTTTACAGTGAATTTTATGTTACTTTATTCCAGTTTTAAAAAGAAAGTGTTTCTAAGTTCTTCTATTAAATTGAACATTCCTAACACTTTCAAGCATGACAAATTACTTGAACATTTTTCATAGTTTCAATATTACAAATTACTTGAACATTCTGCATCACTCCTAACAGTTTCAAGCATTACATTCACTTGAACATTTACTGGTCAAAACTGAAACAATCAATAAGTTGCAAATAATGTCCTAAACCCATATTCCACATCCGAATTACTTTCTTACAAGGTTTGTTACTTTTGGTGTTTGAACCAATCTAACTGAAAATTAAGCTCTTCAAAGTGCTTCCATTAATCGGTTTAGTGTAGAACAAAAATGTAGAACGGAGCTAGATCATCTTGTAATACAAGTGTTTATTAATTCAACCCACAAATGGCTAGGTACACAAGAATAGCAGTTTATCAACATGTTTTAAATCAGTCCTTAACATTCGATGGGCACCATCGCAATGACACTTCAAGAGACTGTTAGAGCCTCTATCAAGTCTGTCATAATGCCCACTGTTTTGGGTCTGCTACTGATCTTTATATTTTTACCAGGAAATAAATACTCTTAAATTCTAGTCCTGTTATTATTTACCATGGCATTGGCCACACAATCAGCCAACGGATAGCTTTGTGTGACCTTGTTGGATGCTATGACTCTGATAGTTTAATTTTAACTGGTCTAGACTATCACAGTAATACAACATTTTCAAACTATATTGTTGTATATTAACATCAAATATTTGTCACTAAGAAAATAAGTCAATGTTTTAAAGTTTAAATTTCAAAATCAGATATTAATTATTAGAAATTTATACTAGGAAGAAGAGTTTTAGCAAATTTAATTGTGACCTCAATTGCATTTGATAACCTACTTTCCGCATGACACAAGGCTGCAACAGCTGCCACATTAATCAGAGGTCAACAGTTCAGTAGCATGCTGTAAACATGTCTCAGTTTAGCCAGTGAAACTCTGTTTTGTTGTTAAGAAAACAGTACAGTTCAGCCAATTTTGTAAACAATGAATCAAAATACAACATCAGCCCACTAACAACCCCCATGGACTGTTTGGTGGGGGCTATTTACAACCCTTAAGAATTTTTCAAATGTGAAGGACTGCTATATGCCTGTCAAATTAGGATTGAGGACTGAAACATATTTAGAATACACACAGAAAACTGCTACCTTACATTAATACAAGTAAACAAATAAACTGTATACATTTAAAAATTACCTTTCAATTGTTTCCTCACTCCCTTGGTTGGATCCATCCAGCGCTGAACAAATAAAAAAACAACAGCTTTTAACTAACTTCTTTCCAAGATTGAAAATCAAAACCTCTGTTAATATATTTAAAGAATACTTTCTAAGAATTTAAAACACACTCAATAGAAATAGTTTCTAGAATTAAAAAAAATTAATACAACTCTTTTGGCAATTTAAAAGTAAATTCTTTTAAGTTCTCATCACACCATAGTAATCTTAGTAAAAAATAAACATTTTGTTGATAGAAATGACAATAGAAATACTTCTTCACACATTAACAAAAACAAATAAAATAAAAAGTTGTTTGTAGTCAGGCATAAAGCTAAACAATTGGCTTCTTGTACTGTGTTTACTGCAGAGTTCAAACCTCAAATTTTTCCATAAGCTAAGCCATTGGGTATGAAAAATAAAACGACATAAACTTGCTTATACCTTCAAAACTAACCTATGTGAAACTATTTAGAATAATTGTATGTCTAAGGATGTTTATAAGTTATTAAAAGACAGGTAGTCTTTTCCTATGAGTAAGCTTTTTTTAATATGGAGTTAAAGGTCTGAAGATCCTTTAGTTATGATTGATAAATCATAATATGAAACACTGTGAGCTGTGGTTTAAGCATGTGAACAAATAGCTGAGTGGCTAGGTTTAAGTAATGAATGACTGGTCCTACTGGATACTCCTAAATGTTTACAGACTATCATTTTTAAGTGGAGTTTTTCTATTGTCAATATCTGTGACCTTACAGTCACTACACATATACTTATACACAAGTCATGATTGTAGAAGTGTTGGTATTAAATATTTCTATTGAAAAATGTATTCAACTATATGGTTACAGTTTGTACCCATTTGGCTCATATGAAGAAGTTCAACAATACTTATGATAACTCTGAGCTTTCTTAACATATCTTCACAAAAACTGGTACGATTTTGTTAAAAATTACAAGTATTTTGTACACAAAGAATGAGATTATTGTAATAAAGTATTTTAATAAAATATTTATTTTTGTATTGTAATTATTTGCACTCAGACTCTGAACATTTTGATTATTATCATCAACATATAATGCAATGAAATGTTTAAGATTAAGAAAAAATTTACATACCTTTTGATCTATTGTCGAATAATCTTAAAAGATCTTCTTTTGGTTATATTCTTAATTGCAAGTCTTTACATTTTCACATGTAGTTTATTTTTAAAGTTTTATTTTTCTTTTGCTATCCTTTAGCATTATTATTTATTGCAAAACATGTCAACAGGCATTCTCAGGCAATATCATGGTATCATCGGCAGAGATACTTTAGCCTTTGGCAGAATGTTGCACTTGCATACTACACTAAGCCTCGTGAACCAAGGCAAAGTTTGGGTTATATTTTCAAAAATTATTAAACCTTTCTAATAATCATTTTAAAACATAAAGAAGACATAATCAACTGAAATTAATTTAAATATAAAACTAAAACCTAAATACAATTTAACTGTCTATCTAACTAACATATTTCTAGGTGACAAATAATGTTAAGTGCTAGCAAGGACATAAGCATCATCAATACCAAGATCGGTTTCAAGTACTTGTAAGGAATTCTTTGTGCCAATTTGAATATAACAATAGGGAAGTTGCAGTTTAAAATGAGCTCTTTCTATTGCTTATAGATATAAACAGAAATATATATCGAGTGCAAAATCATATGACTATGTGTAGAAAGTAGGCCTGGCTTCTTTCAAGAGTTCCCAAAAGATTTATTTTTCCTTCCTCAAAACTTTCCAGGAAGGAATTTGAAAGAAGAATTTATAAACAGAGAAATTAGCTTAGTTTCTCTCAAGACACGGAGGTCCGACAAAACCAAAGATTAAGAGTTTATTTTTTTAAATAAAGGAATTAAAACAAAGATAATATAAAATATTGAGGTTAACATTTTCTTACACTGAAAATGTATTTCCAATAGGTATTTATCTGCTCTTACACAAAGCTATCTTAATGTTCTTTCTGCCCTCTAAGAATTTCTGGAAAAATTTTCACACTCAGCTCACCAGTCTATATACCCCACCAATTCTGTACCACTACTGAACATGTATATGGCATATTAATACTCTCAACAAATAGTACTGTGCACCTATACTGGTGCAATTAGCTCCCTCTGCTATTCTTGCTCAATCCTCACTTTCAAGAATTGGCAGCCTGTAAAGGAAGAATATCAGAAGTAGGGAGGAGGGGTAATAAGTGGTAAGTACCTATCGGAAATACATTTGATGATGAAAAAAATTATCCAGATAGAATAATGAATTAGATGTTACTAGTAGTAATGATATGTAAAGAACAAACTATCAAACCATACCCAGTTAACAAAGTAGTTATGAATATTGAACTGACAAACCATCCAAACTTCCCTAGCCCACAAAATACGTAATAATAACAAACATACAAAATGATGAATATTACTGAGGAAACAAAGTAATAATTAATATCTGACAACTCATTTAAATTAACATAAACAACAAATGACACATAAATATCCAACTTACCAAAGTCGAGGCACTGATGACATGAAAACTTAAATCTCCCATGTGTACAGAAGGGCTAAGCCACACAAAGGGCATCTGAGCCATGCCTACCATGGGTATGTCCACTATGTTTGAAGTGTATAAATGTCGAAAAACTTACCAAAGAACCACTGGGAGAACTGGAAACAATATGAAAAAATGAGGAGAAAAACAAACCTCTACCTAATTGAACGACATGACAGCACAGCAATTGGAGCAGGAAAAAGAAAACTAGCAAAATCACCCACATCTCCAACATACAGCAAAACCAGAATATGCATTGACTGACAACCTGATTAACTAGCTCTAAAAAAATGGAAGGGGAAAACTCCTTAAGAGGTGTAGAGTGTGATAGACCAAAATAAGAAGGTGCAAGAAAGAGAGTGAAAATAGTCTCCTCGATTGTATTCTTTCTCAGAAACATTGTCAAGTTGAAAAGAAGAAATTGCCAGCCAAACATATGAATCTAGCTCCCTGCGAATTAAGGCCTGTACCTCCTCTGCACATAAAGTCAAACCCAAATCCCGGGAAGTTGTATCCATAGAATGTTTTACTGTAATGGGAATTTCTGTAGTCAATATGTTGAATTGCAAATTCATACTAAAATCTCTTGTAACAAGAAACAAACTCAAAAAAGAAATTCCTGATACAATTGAATGCAATCACAATGAAATGGCAAAGAAGCACAATCATAAACATGAGCCACATATGAAAAAAAACACACACCTAAACAAGATACAGGAATAGCATAAGAAGCTAGCTGCGCCAATGTAGATGGTGCAATACTATTGGTGGAGGCTATTTACATGCTACGTACATGTTCAATAGTGGTACAACATTGGTGAGGTATACAGACTAGTGCGCTCAGTGTGGACATTTTTTCAGCAACGTTTAGAGGACAGGAAGAAGATTGTGTGAGTGGAGTTAATACTGTATCAAAATCATAATGTATATTATAATGATAATATCATTGACACACATTGATAGTAAGGTTGCTTCATTAAATTTTTAATTTAACTGAGTAAAACCTTGTGACATGCACCAAAGAGGGTGCCTGCAAATTTAGGGTTATTGTAGACTCTGGGTCTATACACTAGAATGAGCTGACTTTGAGTGTAGAAGTTGTTTTTTTGACCAATAAAGAGAGTTGTTTTTAATTTGTAATTTTATGAAACCATAAAAGGAAGGCAGATAATGTGGGGAAATTTGTTGAATTTGTAAAGTAGCAAGAAGCTGGAATGTTAACATTTTCCTAAACCAAAAATCTATTTTTGATAATACTTACCTCCTCTCACACTACAGCTTTATCCCAATGAAAGTGTCTCTTCTCTGCCCATCTAAGCATTAGTATGAATATTACATCACTTGCACTAGCCTTTATACTCCCCTATATTACACAAAGCAAGTTAAATCTTGTGATTCTCTCTACCTATGTCAATGTGCTCCCTATGCCAGATCCGTATATAAGCTCCCTATTATTACTTTCTATTCATTATTTGAGACGGTCCAATTAATAGACTCGAAACTGGCCATTTCATGGAGAGAGTGTAAAAGGAGGTTAAGTATTATTGGAAATACATTTTTGATATTGCAAAATATTAACTTCAGAAACACATTTACCTCTTTTCTCTATAGCTAGAAACCCATATTAAGAAGGTAGAGGAGCCAGCAAGGGCAGGATCCACACAGAAAACATCTGCATAAAAAAAAAAGAGAGATGTGCAAAAATTAAATACAGTAATAGCACACCAGTGGATCCTGCAATACTTCTGGAACAGGTATGCTCTTCTCCCAGAAAACAAGAAATCTATTTCATGGGTGTTAAAGGTCAACTAGCCACAGAGGCAAAACAATAACCTTTCTAGAAGAACGTGAATTTGTCCAGGCCCCATGTCTCATCATTGGAATTATAAAGATGTGGACCTAAATCTAGATTCAAGATGTAGTGGCTAGGGCATGAGGACCACTTTTCATTTTCTTTTGTTTAGCAACGTTGTATTATTGGAACCCAACCTGAAAGTCACAGAATGTTGCATGTCGAGCCACCAAAATTATGAACAAAAGGCAAACAACACAAATATGAACAAACCCTCACCCCCAACCTGAAAAAGCACAAAATTCAACAAACCAAACTTGGATTTATGAGACCTGTCACGCTTCACTCAACCTGAAGAAACAGAGATTACCCACCATGGGATTACCAATTAAAATCCTAACTCCTCAACCTGAGAGTCAAGGCAACACCTCCTGCCCCTTGAATTATGAGGAGGACATAATACAAACTAATTCCAACCAATGGCACACGATTTGACATTCCACGGATGAAATTATGAAGAGTCAGGGACCCTCTTTCATGATCATCAAAATGAAAAGAATAACCAAAAAGAAGGTCAATGCTCAACTCAACAGGTTATAGAAGAGTCATCTCTGATTCAGAATTATGAGGGGGTTCTCACGTGGGCTGGCCC